GAAACGTCAGGCTAATAAAGCTCTTGTCCCGGCGATCGTGTCTCCTTCTTCAAGACTACTTTCTGGGACTCGGCTCTTCGCTTCTATTGGCCTTGTACATCTTCAGCTTCGTGTTCAGTTGAAGAACGTGACGATTCCAAACTGTGCTTTGGAGACGACCGAAGGCTTGACTGGCTTTCGAGATCCTGTTGGCGACTTCGTCATCAATCTTGGTGGTGCGGGAGAGAGTACTGCCCAGGTACGGGAAGTTCTCCACCACTTGCAGTAGAGTCCCATTCACGCTGATTTGCGGCGACGCGTTGGGGCTGTGGCTGAGTTGGGTGGCGGTTGGTGCATCACCACCGTCTTCTGCGTGTTAATGACCAGACCGAAGTTCTCGCAAGCGGCGGAGAACAGGTCCATGCTCCGTTGCATCTCCTCTTCTGAGGTGGTGTTCAGGGCGCAGTCGTCGGCGAAGAGGAGTTCGTGCACAGTGGTTGTGGATACGCGCGATTTGAAGTGCATCCGCCGTTGATTCAGGAGGTGACCGTCCGTCCTGTAGGCGATGCGGATCCCTGGGCGTTCGTCGCGGTATGCGTCCATCAGCATGGCAGAGAACATAAGACTGAAGAGGGTAGGCGCCAGTACGCAGCCTTGCTTCACTCCATTGGTCACTGCGAATGCCTCTGAGACAGCTCCGTTGTCCGTGACTCGCGCCATCATACCGTCGTGCAGCTGACGCACCATCTGAGTGAATCGCTCCGGACAGCCGAATTTCTGCATGATCTTCCACAGTCCTTCACGATTCACCGTGTCGAAGGCTTTCGTCAGGTCCACGAAGGTAGAGTACAGGTGGGTCCGCATCTCCTGACACTTCGCCTGAAGTTGGCGGGCGGCGAAGATCATATCCATGGTCTCACGATGACGACGGAAGCCGCACTGGCTTTCCGGCAGAAGGCCCTGTTCCAGATGGTTGTTGAGGCGGTTGAGCAGGATGCGAGCGAAGATCTTCCCGGCGATGTTTAGCAAGGAGATGCCACGGTGATTGTCGCAGACTTGGCGATTCCCTTTTCGCTTGTATAGGTGCACGATGGTTGCGTCCTTGAAATCTTGCGGGACTTCACCTTGACGCCACATCTCCTGGAAGAGCGCAGTCAGGTGATCCATGAGTTGGGGACCTCCGTGCTTGTAGACCTCAGCAGGAATTGCGTCCGATCCGGGTGCTTTCCCGCTGGAGAGCTGCTGCACGGCCCTGATGGTTTCCTGGAGAGATGGCGGGAGGTCTAGGTCCGCGTTGGGCTCGACTTGCGGCAAACGCTCGATGGCGGCGTCGGAGATGGCGGAAGGGCGGTTTAGGACGCCTCGGAAATGCTCGGCCCATCGCTGAAGGATTTGCGTTTTCTCAGTCAGGAGAGTACTGCCGTCGGCGCTGAGGAGAGGAGCAGTGCCCTTTGTCGGCGGACCGTAGACAGCTTTGATCGCAGAGAAGAAGTTCTTCCATTCGTTGCGGTCCGCGTAGCCTTGGATCTCCTCAGCTTTGCGAGCAGTCCAGGCGTCCTGCATCTCCCGCAGTCGCTGCTGGAGGTGGCGGCGACTGCGGTAGAAATCAGCTTTGTTGTCGTCAGTGGGGTGATCGACGTAGGCTTTGTGTAGGCGGTTCTTCTCAGCAAGCAGATTTCTGATGGCGGCGTCGTTGTCGTCGAACCAGTCCTGGTGTTGGCGGGGAGCGCGACCGAGGACGGTGAGCGCCGTCGACTGGACCGTGTCTCGCAGTTGACACCAGCGGTTCTCCATGGAGGCGTTTTCGGCAGCGGCGGCATCGGCGATGGGGAGGTTGTCTAACCGTTGAGCTAGCTCATTGCTGAAATGGAGATGGTGAGCGGGCAAGGACAACAAGGCAACATTCAGCTTACCTGGGGGTCGCTTACCTTGAGGTCTCCTGCGAGGCTGTAGGCGAATACGCATCTTCGAGATGACGAGGCGATGGTCGGTCCACCCGTCAGCACCCGCGATCGCCTTCGTCACCAGCACGTCCCGCTGGTCACGCCTTCGGACGAGGACATAGTCCAGCAGGTGCCACTGACGCGACCGAGGATGCCTCCAAGTGACCTTCTCTCGCTCCGGCAGACAGAAGAACGTGTTTGTCAGGATAAGGCGGTGTTCTGCGCAGGTGCGGAGCAGCAGCAGACCATTGTCGTTTGAGCCACGGAGACCGTGGGGACCCAGCACTCCTCTCCAGGCAGTATGGTCTGTGCCGACGCGGGCGTTGAAGTCGCCAAGGACAACCAACTTGTCCGCCATCGGCACAGTCGCCAAGAGGGCGTGCAGGTCCTCGTAGAATTTGTCTCTGACGGCGTCGGGGTTGGTCATGGTCGGAGCGTAGGCGCTAATAATGGTGGCGAATTTGCCTCCCCAGAGAGGCAGACGGAGGCTCATCAGGCGATCGTTGATGCCCTGCAGCAAACAGGGCAGTCGTCCCACGATGTCGTTCCGAATGGCGAAGGCGACACCCGCGTCCCGTCGCTCTGCCCTGGGTCGACCGCTCCAGAAGAAGGTGTAGCCGGCACCCACCTCCTCCAGTTGGCCTTGTTCGGAGAAACGGGTCTCGCTGAGTGCGGCGATGTCCACCTTGTAGCGCGCCAGTTCTCGTGCCACTAACGCTGTCCTCCTTTCCGTTCGGTTGCTCCGCGGATTGTCTAAAAGGGAACGAACATTCCAGGCTGCCAGAGTGAGCGGACTCACCCTGCCAGTCTGGTGACGACGAGTGGGGCGACGGGAGGAAGATGGAGAAGAAGGTGACGAAGGAGAAGAATAGGCAGAGGAAGAGGTAGAAGAGGTAGAATGAGGAGAAGGAGTATGGTTGTTGTTGTTATTGGTATTGTTGTTGTTTCGATTTTGATTGTTTCGACCATGATTAGACGTCTGCGGCCCTGGCTAGCCTGGAGACGGCGTGGTACCCAGCAATGTTTAGGCCACCTTTTCTAGGCCCTTCCCCTCATGAGGGCAGGCAGTGCCGCCCCTGAATCGGGCTGCCCATGTGCCTGGTTGGCGCGACCGATCCCACTATGGGGCCACGACTTTTCTGTTCGTAGTGGAGAACGACCGCATATGCCGTGAGTCCGCGGTCTCCGTCGGCGAGGGTGGGCGCGTCTCAGCGAAGGCGATGCGGAGACCTGTCCCGGCAGCAGTTATTCAACGGCTTCGGCAATGAATTTATGCCTCTGATTTATTCAATATTATCCGATTGTTCAACTAAAAGTTCGGTGAGTCGACACCTATATCAGCTGAAAATTGAACAAATTAAGCAAGAATCAGGTAAAGAAAATTAATCGATTGCAAACAGGCCATCCAAAGCTTTTGTCATCAAATTCGATGTCTGGTTTTGTTGAAATGGAGATATATGGACCACCTCTAACTTGCCATGAAGACAGTGGCAGAATTTCAAGAGACAGCAGGACCAATAAAAAAAATTGTTCGTCTAAATTCAGAAACCTAAGTACATACCGGCAGAGAGGACAGGGAAAATGATAAGCTTAGAATGAATACCTACGGTTTTTACTGTACTGCATCCATACTTATTGTTTCATGACCGAGGCAGATCAGACGAATTATCCGGATTAGTGCTGTGAACTTGTATCGCGTTTCGAAATAGAATATCTTCCAAAATAACGTACCGTGTATATAATCCCCCGAGGAAGACGAAGAAGAGGAAGCGCTTTCATGGACCAGGTTGTATTCAGACTGACGTTTCGGAAACTCGTTTCCATTATCAGAGTCGTGCGCTGACGTTTCCTGCTGGCCTTGATCTGTTCAGCCTTGCCGCCTGCCTCGTATTATTACCGTGCCCAGCGCACGTTTGTTGACTAACCTGCTTTCCGTTGGCTGATTGTCGCCTCCCTGATCTCAGCCATTGGCGGACCGGCGTGGCTTGTGTCCCCCTCATGCCTAATGTGGTTGCCGCTGCGTCGGCGTGCTCGTTGGCTTCCCCCTCGTCAGACGGCGGGCTGATCGATCGTTGTTCCTCAGGCGGGGTGTTTCCGGCCTCGCGAGTACGTTCGTGAGACGGTGTGCCATGCCGGTCACGTGACATTCGATCAGCGCCTTCTCCTCTCTCCGCGAGCGTCGGCGGTCGACCCCGTGTGACTCTTTTCATCCGTGCCATCGGCCCTGCCTGGACCGACGCGAGTCTTGCGCGGAGCGCCTGGTAGGCTGGATGTAGGTCTATGGCCCGGTTGAGTGTGCCAGTCGAGGACCAACTTTCCAGCACTAGTCTGGCCATTTTATCATTGGCTCGGCCGATCACACTCGCTTTCACG